TCGTTTTATAAACAGACCTTCATAAGCATGCCGAGAAAAAAATTAAATATAAAAAAAATTATAGACTACGAGGTTCATATCCATGGTCAATAAAATTTACATCTAAAGAAAACTACTGCAAAAGTCGAAAATATCGTAACGTTAACTTAAAAATGTTGTCAAATCTACTCAAGGTCTGAAATACCAATGACAAATCGAAGAAGACACATAACTTTGGGGTTGCAAAGCAAATTTCTGATAGAATATAAAGTAGAAGGCTAGTAGTAGGAACTTTCATAATATCCGACATGGCTCGAAAGAAGAAGGATGTTCGAGCGGAAATGGTGATGCGAAAGGAGGCAGCGAAAATACTTGCAACTTAATAAATCAGCTTAATATAAGGGAAGTCTTTGTCAAACACCCAGCTATAGATACTCAAAAAATTACAAAAATCACCCATTCCAGATACCCCAACCATGAAGTCAAGCAATGCCACAACTAATGAGGAATACAGTGAAAATTCGGAGTACTCACAAGAGAGATATTACTAACGGTAGCATTGTTATGCCACATCTGCAAACTACAGAATAATTTGGTTGATGTCATTTTTAGAGCAGCCGATGTTAGCAAACTAAGAAATGAAAGGTTATCAGTGGTGACAACTAAACTAAGTAAGGTAAGTTATAATGTTGAACGGAACATGGAAATTACCATGTTATCATTAGCTAACTGATGAAAGAGACAACAGATGTTCTATCTGCTTTTTTCATAGTTAATCAGATTGACATAGGAAGTTTGGAAATCATGACATCAACAATAGGCTCAAATAAAATCCAAGTTATTCCAGTATAGGGTGAGGTACTGAGGCGCCTATCATATATGCATGCGATATACAGGTACATTTTGACAGTCCAAAAAAGCAAAACAGTTAAAAACTCGACGAAGAAATCGTAACCAAGGTCTTGATCCGTATGAATACCTCAAGTTACGATCACATAGTTTTATAAAATAGCTAAGACGCTATTTTTTGAAACAGCCAGATTTACATAACTTCCAATTTATATATGAAATTGTAATCGTGTAATAAGAAAATTACCTTCACATAACAATTTCTGAAACTTTTCTTCATTTCGTTCATTTCCATTATGACCCAGAATAGCCAGAATAGAAACCTTCGCCATCTTAAGGCAGATACGTGTGAAGTCCAACTGATGCTTTGAGGAATCGCGTAAGGTGTTTGCAAGCGCTTTTAGCACATACAAACAAATCCGTCTAGATTGAATGAAACCCTGAAGTTTTTGTGTGGAATTCCCTCTACGTCTTTCAGCTCTTTGTGCCTATGTATCTTAATCGAAAATAATTGGTGCTGGGGTGTTTAGTTCCTTGTTAAAGAAGAAACCGACAGGAAAATATAATGAGTAGGGATTCAGGGTTGCAATTAGCGTAAAAATCAGTGGAAGGTAAACCAAGCAACTACTAAGATTGGATTATCATGCGTTTCAAAAATGAAGAAGGAGAGCTGGATCATGCTTTTTCTGCTGCTGAATGACCCCAACCGGCCATCATTCAGTTACTAAGGCTGAGAATTATGTGTTGCCATTTGCGTTCACTTGGGGCAAAAACTCCACAGATTATGAAGTGTAGGTGTGTTTAAGAGTCAATATTAATGTTTTGGCTTAAATCACAAAAGTGGTGCGGATTGTTTCGAACATGAAAGTATAGTAAGTCCAAAACTACTTCTTTGTTTACTAAAATTAAAGGATTCTGTATAGTTTGTTGTGATTTTTATTTAGTTCCGCACGCACTACCTAAACCGTTTTTGTCATCCTGGATAATGGAGAATTTCATCATCGTACGTAAAACTAAGTAACTTGACGTTGGACAACCTAACTGTTTTGGATTACCTATGAACAGATTAAGACTTAACCAATTTTTATATAAGGACACTGGAAAATGCCTTGTGGTATCGTAAATGTGTAAGGCGCAATTGATTTAGTAATATTCGATAAGGATAATGTATTAGAATTTTACTGTGGTAAGGTTACGTGGACTCCTGAGTAGAAAGTTGTCCTTCTGCAGTAGTGTAAAAGTTTAATGATAAAAATTTAGCTACGGACTGCATACCAGCAGTATAGAAATCGAGATAGTATTGCTGGGATACCAATGAATTCTTTAATACATTTTCTGATAAAACACACCTTTGACACCGTCAGAACCCTTAGAAAACAGGAAAAAACCCTTAACAAGCCCCATTTTTCAGTCAATGTTGGCTTTGTTTTGGTTTTGTGCTTGGTCAAAGTAGGAAGTTTGTTTTAAGTAAGAAAACCAATCTTCAAATGGGGATTTATAGCAAAAAATGAAATGGAATAGCTGTACAATAAAGGTATCAGTATCAGTATCAGTATATTGAGGGATGTGTAGGAAAAATTCCTTTGAGTGCCCTATTTGTACATATGTGCAGTGGCATACATAGGTGTTAAGGTTTCTTAGTAAGAATATGTTGGGTAAAGAATAAATCTGTCGTTTATGGGATTTTGACTGTTCATTCAACAGAGATTGATTTGGTTGCTGTCGTTTCGAAGGACAAGTGCATAGATCGGATGCAAGCGCATCGTTCGGATGGGTGATTCGGCCGATACGAAGTGCACCTGATCTCTGTCCACTGGTGCGATTTTGAATTGTGAACTGAAACGATACAGATAGCTGAGGACGATTGAGGCAGCTGAATGCGGCTAACGAAGCAACGCCGTCATTCAATAGCAGGA